TCCCCGCTTCCTTCGCCTCCTACCTTGCCCTCCTCCATTATCACCGCCCCACTTCCTCCACCAACCATCTCAACCTCCTCCATTTCTGGTTCTTCCTCCATTTGTTTCTTAATTTTCTTCTTCTTTACCTATGTCACTACCATGTAAGGCGATTTCACAAACTTGCTCTTTCGGCTCTATATTTTCAAACCAGTTTGCACTTCAACCGCCTTTAATTCTCCACCAACTTCCTCCTCCATTGTACCAACTTCCTTCTCCACTGTACCAACTTTCTCTACCAGCTTATCCACTTTCTCCTCCACCCTTTTCATGCGCTCTTCCATCTTGTCAAACCTGTCATAAACGGCTGTTGTAAAACTCTCAAACAGGCTGTTTATGAGGTCAACCACCTCATTCTCCCGACGCCGATGTCTCAGCAAAGCGGTACTTGTTATACCAGTTTGCTGAGGCATACAAACCTCTTCCTCCCTATTCTCCTCCTCATCCTCGTGCCTTCCGCCGATTGGAGCTTCATCATCCTCGGCATCAACCACGTTGTCAAGCAGTGGCCCTGCAACTACCGTCACATGTGTGACCCCTTTTAGGTCCTGCATCAGGCAGTCTATCCGTTCATCCCTTTCATCCTCCAATGCTTTGAAAGATGTGACATAATCCTCTTCCGCTTCATCCCCAGTAGCGGTGAGAAAGGGACAGACGACTCCCTGCAATAAGAAACAAAATCAATTAAATTGAAGCTACATTTTAAAGCAATTGCATATTCAAAAGCTTAATCCTTTGATCTTACCCTAGCCGTTTCAATCTTAATGTCTATTTGGTCGTAGTCCCAATGGGTACACCTCTCAACATGACACGTAACATCCTAAGAAATTGTTGTTGCTCATCCAAACTGTTGCTCCTCCCCCCAGCCTGAGCGAAGACAGGGATGACCTCATACATCCAAGCCTACATTGTAAAAAAACAGTCCATATCATAATTCAAACACATATATTATAAAAAATATAACAAAAAGCTATTAATATTTACTTGCATTGCCCATGAGAAGCCAAACAAATTGTACGTGCTTGGTTTATCCTTCCCAGCCCATTGGGCCTGCTTTAACGCCATGTCTGGTTTTTTTAGGCTGTTAATGGTTCGCTCAAATGATATCCGTCCCCACGAATAAGAATTAAAGAACTTCAAGTCGCTTGCAAACAACAACCAATCATTCTCAACAGCTTTTGTTGAGTCACCAGCCATTAAGATCAAATGTAAAAACAATAGCAAACACACTTTTATCTTCTCTCCATCATTAAACCGAACTGTTTCTAGCCTCTCCTCTAAAACATGTCCTGTAATAGACTTTGCCCCCTGCAAAACCTTCTTACGAAACCTTTTGGCTCCCGGACTCGTCCTTATTGCATCCGCCTCTGCCTTATATGGCACTTCCCCGCATCCTAAGCCCGTCACCAAGGCATACTCCATCATTCCAAACAGTAGTGGCTTTCCGTCCACCACGAACCATATTTCTTTTTTTTTTTATTGCATTTTACTGAGTGCAGCAACATGTAATGCACTCCTTGCCCCCAAAATGCCTTTTTCCAATTTGTTTCAATTCTTAAAAACTGACCGAAACAAGTGCAACAGAAATCTCTTGCACCATGCCTCGTTCTAGCTAAAATGTCCCTTATTCTATCAAAAACATCCCAACTCGACCTCACCGTCACCCTTGTAGGGAAGTAGGGTACCTTCTCACTTATAAGCTCCAACTCGTAGTCTCTATAGTTTACGGTCCACACAATCTACACAATCGATATAAACAAAATTTCAACAACAAAAATAAACCAAAACAACTAATAAACAAAATATCAACAACAAAAAATTACCACTGTAGTCACTTAAGCGATTTCGGATCTCTTAAAAGATCTTGACTCTACCTCGTGCAAGATCGCCTAAGCGATCTGAAATCGCTTTAGTGACCAAGAGTAAACTGAAAGAATCTCTTATACGATACAAAAGATCGCTTAAGCGATCTTATATCTGTGATTCTGCCTCAACAAGTTTGCTTAAGCGATCTGAAATCGTTGAAGCGACCAAGAGTAAACTGAACCAATCGCTTAATCATCTGCCCAGATCTAAGATCGCTGAAGTGATCCTTTGTATCGCTTAAGTGATCATGAGTAAAAGAGATTAATCGCTTAAGCGACAGTACAAGCAATATTCCCAAAACAAATACGTACCCTTTCTTCGTCGGCCTCCTCCTCGTCGCTTGAATTCTCACCGGACTCCTCCTCCTGGCCTGAATTCTCTTCGGACTCCTCCTCCTAGCTTGAATTCTCGCTTGACTCCTCGTCTTTAGAACCGTTTGCTGATTCTTCTCTCTGTTGTGGTGTCGCCGTCGTCTCCTCTGCCTGTGGACCACCTTCACTGATCGGATGATCCACTAGAGCAGCCATTGAACTGCTTGTGCCACCGGAATCTAGGATTCGAAGTGGCGTTGGGTTTTCCTCCTCATTGTGAGTGTCAGCCATGGTTTTGGATTGAATTTGGTGTCAAAGTTTGCAGTTTCGATTGGAAATGTGGATTGTATCGCAGGAAATCGCACAGATTCTGTTTAGGGTTCAAGAAATCGATTTTAGGGTTCAAGAAATCGATCAAAAATCGCGACTATATCTCCGAAAATCGCGACTGTATTCCATTTAGGTTTCAAGAAATTGATTTTAGGGTGCAAATTTGCAGGTTCGATCGAAAAAAATCGCAGTGTCTCCCTTTGGTTCAAGAAATCGCTTTTTGCCCTAATGAATTTCGATTAAGCGAGGTGAATAGGTGGGGCTTGTTTTGATAAATTTCAAATTTTAAAAACTTACATTATTTATATTCGGCCCACATATGTTTTAATCTTTTCATTTTAACCCATTTTACGTGTTTAATTAATCTTAACTATGCCACGTCATCTTCTCTAAATTAAAAAAAAATGAAAAACATTTTCAAGGCCATTTTCTTAAATCGAAACTTGGGATGGTCAGGCAGCTAAATTTTCTCTGGCCGCATTACTTAGATTTAGGCAAATAATAACAATGGCTATAGTGGAGGTGTTAGTGCTAGTATCAGAAATATGTGAGCTTATATGTATTTTACTCAAATTTAAGGGTTGTCATGCTACTTCTATGGGCATCTTAAAATTAGCATCTTTTCATAATACTGGAGAAAAATTATGCACGTAAATTATTTATTACAAATTAACCCTTCTCTGTCAAATTATGCATATAAATTAATTATTACAAATTAACTATTCTCTGTCATAAGTAGGGGTGAAATAGAGTCGAGTATATGGGTACTTGAACTCGATTCGAATAATGCTGGGTTGAGTTCGAGCCAAAGTCAAGTTGAGCTCAAGCCGCTCGGCTCGATTTTCACCCCTAGTCATAAATAAGGATCTACTATTAGTTACTACAAATTAACACTTATTTACTATTTTTTTTTTTTAAATAAATCTAATATATATTAGAAGCCTTGATGAACATACTACACGTCTATCGTTATAATAATGACAATAAACTTGCAACATTAAACCATAGAATTTGTAATATGCATGTATAAATGTGGTCTCAACATTATAATGCGACTCATTTTTAGCATTTTCTTAATTGTAAACAAACACTTNTTTTTTTTAATTTATAGATATTGGCTCACAACCCAATTTTACAAACTTTCTCTTACAACCTTGACGTGATAGTTCGTAATTGGGCAGACGGAACCCATAATGAGCAAGCGAGACCCATTTGGGAGCTAACCAATTGTGAGCTACCATGTCGAGGTTGTGAGAGAAATTTTGTGAGATTGGATTATAAGTGTAGTATTGCCTAGAGGCTGAATTGATCGATAATGTTGTCAAACCGATATTATATCATAACCCACTACAGAATGACCGTATTTTGGCAAGTATTTGAGTGTAGTAGATAAAAATAGATGGTGAACTCCATTATATTTAGGGGATATTTGGTTGGGGGTTACATGAGATTACTGGGGCTATATCATCTTATATTACTTGATTACCACGTTTGGTTGTTAAGTAATATAAGATTCCAGTAATCTTCAAATACCAATAGTAGTTACTGTTAGTAATATTGGAGGTAATCTGATTACCTCCATTTTCTTAGGTATTCTAAGATTACTAGGGTAATCTTTTTTTGTTACAATTTTATCCCTTATTAATAACATTTTAGGACAATAATGCCCTTATTTTTACATTAATTTACATGAAAAAGGCTTTTACTATTTCACCCCAATTAATTAACTTTTTGGACAAAATTACCATTGAATTCAAAACAAATTGCAACCCACCCAAGCCACCACCCCCACCCACCTGTCACCGCCTGCCACCGGCAACCACTGCCGTAGCCAAAACAACGCACAGAAGGCCGAAAATGGTTGTTTTTGCTAAGTTTTTAAATGCAGGGGGGTTATAATAATCAATATTGAAAAATAATAATATTTAATCAGAGGACAATTCAGTAATTTAAATAACATACCCACCAATTTATTCCTTCCAATCAAACATATTAATATAACATACCCACCAATCAACCAAACACATTTTCCTAAAGATTCCCAGTAATCTTCAAGGTAATCTAACTTTTCAGTAATCCAATATTCGCTGAACCAAACGCTCTCTTAAGATATTTATTTGAGTTAGATCACTTGGATGATTTAGAGGTATTTTAAATAAAGTGAAATAGTGGAGCTGCTCTTCAAAAGCATTCAATTTCACAAAGCTTCTCTTTCAATGGTATGTTAATGGGCCTTAACATCTTAATCATATTCAGCCCAATAAATAGCATTTGAGGCCCATTTGAATTTTCATCTCATATTATTATTTTTTAAATAAGTTTTCCTACTATTTGGGTTGGTGAAGTTAATAAGACAATAACAGATGGGCCCTCATGGGCCCTGATTCCACACGGGTCATCTTTGTTGACTAGAGGATATATTCTTATCTTAAGAGGAGGAGAATATAACTTATAAAAGACTTCCAAGCTTTCAGAAACTGCCTGGAATTCACATCAACTAATCGACGAACTTGACTGTTCCCTTCTTCATCTATTGAAGATTCATGTAAAGAACTTTACAAGAAACTTCTAAATTTCTAAATCAAGGTTTATAATTAATGTGACATTATATATCCTTTATTATATACATTTTGATCTTCATCTTCATCCTCACAGAAATATTTATTGAACATGGAGAATCATGATGATGTTGTTGTTGTTGCAGAAGATGACGAAGAAGAAGATGAAGACTATAACTTAACGAAGTCATTTGAAAGCAGCCCAGAAAGATTTTCTTCCACTTCTGAAACTGTTTTCTCTTTTCCAAGTCCATCTTATTCTTCTTCTTCTTATGCCACTCCCACCTTCAAAACCAGTAAGTTTCTTTTTTTCTTTTGCTCCATTTCTTTGCTTTATTATTATTATTTTTTAATTTTTATCTTCTGAAAGTTCTTATTAAATTGGCATACAATTTCATCCTAAATATTTTTTAAAGTATACAAATCTTATAATATAATATATTATATATATTTTTTAAATTGTTTTTTATTTTATTTTTTATTATTATTCTTCTCTTTTGTATGATATAGTACTTTTTCTTTACAAAGAAGTTTAGATTAACCCTATTCTCCATAACTGCAGGTAAAGAAGAAAAGAAGATGATCGAGGTGAAAAAAATTGATAGGAAAAACACTAATTTTGCATACAGCTTCTGTGATCATGGTAATTTCTTCCTAATCTCACAACGTTATTAGTCTGATAACATTATCGACACAAATAATTTATACATACTAGAAATTAACTTATAAATCAAGATGTTATAACTAATTATAACACTAATATAAGGAAAATAAAAATAAAAATTTACTATTGGTCTAATAACATTATCGATCTGTAACACGGCAATATGTATTATGAATGTGACGTTGCATGTTAATAATTAAATATTTTTGTGAAATTTCAGTGAAAATGGGGGTGAAGTTTTCAGAGACAGTGAAGGGGAAGTTGAGTTTGGGGGCAAGAATTATTCAACAAGGAGGGAGGGAAAATATTTTCAAGCAAGTGTTTGGATTGGGAGAAAACGAAGAATTATTGAAGGCTTCACAATGTTATTTATCAACAACTTCTGGTCCTATTGCTGGATTGTTATTTATTTCTACTGAGAAAGTTGCATTTTGCAGTGAAAGATCCATTACTTTCTCTTCCTCTGATGGCCAATTCATTAGATCTCCATACAAGGTAATTTCATTTCTAATCAAGATTTAATTCAATATTAGAGACGATTCTTAGTTTCGGATGGATTATAATGAATCGAGCGACGATTCATTATAATCCATATCAGGATCATTCAGACTTTGTCAAAAAAGTTTTCATTTTAGATAATGCAATTGTGTTGATCTATATGAAATGTTTTTTACAGGTTATGATACCCATAAGGAAGATAAAGAATGTTCATGAAAGTGAGAACTTGAACAAGCCAGAGAAGAAATACATAGAAATTGTGACAGTGGATGACTTTGAGTTTTGGTTTATGGGTTTCTTGCGCTATGAAAAAGCTTTCCGAAATCTTCAGAAGGCCATTGCCAAGGCCAATCAAATGTAATTATTTTATATTTTCCAGTCCAAATTAGCTTTCAGATTACCCAATTTTTTAGATTTTGTACAACAATTAAAACTATAGTGCTTACTTTGTGTTACAAATGTATCTAGAAAGTCTTTAAGCAAAATGGGTTATGGATAAATTTATTTCATATTTTTTTTGTGTTAAATGTCTTATTATTAACTTAAACACATGTTAACAACACATTTAAATTAAAGCTTGTGTTTTATATCAAACTTCATGCATTTGCAGAACATAATTAATGGTGTTTTATTCGTTTCTATTGCTAATTTGATTATAATAAAACTTTATGCATTCTCAAGTCATAATTAACAGAGTTTAATTTATTCATTTTTAGTGTAAGGTAAATTAAACTCAAGAAACAAAGTTCAATGAGCAAGGAGGAATTTCCAAGGAGCATTACTGAAAAAACTTTTATTGAAAGGATCTTCAACTTCAAGCCTCCTTGAACATGACTTTGAATGGAACATCACTCAAAGCCAGGCGGCGTATCCTGCCATCAATATAAATGCCGATGTCTCTGCATAGAACTTTGCAGAAATCACACACTGAAGGGCAGAACACAAGCTTGTAGTCGTTATCATACTTCTCAATCTTAAACCAGTTGCTCGTTGTTTTGCGACCAGGATTTCCTTCGATTCCGCCAGATGTCACGAACCACTGTCCCAATGAGTCATCATGGCTGTCAAGCTTCCACACAGTGGATTGGACACAGATTGTTGCGGCGGAGAACTTGATGTTCATATCAGTGGATACGCGGACAACACCTTTTGTGAGGTTCACAGGTGAAACTGTTAATGGCAGGCCATCTTTTACCTCAAGTTGCTCCTGAACAACGTCAAGAGGACAGGTTTCATTCCCGGTGCTGGCAAGAGTAAGACCACCACCTCTCCCACGGACAACTGGCAAGATGTAATATTGGGTGCCTGTGCAGAGCTTCTGGCCAGCGATGTCAAGCACTGGATCAGGTGTAGCACCGGCTGCCACAGGCAATGACCTAGTCACAAAGGCAAAGATAAGGAAAGAACTGAGTACTCCTAATGTAGATTTCATTGTTATCACTGCTGCTTTTACGTGAAAATGAATTAGAAGAGCTCGTATTTATAGAGCTCGTGACAAGATGATCTCTATTAAAACGTTGAGGAGTTGTGGAAGACACGTAAAGCTGGCTTGAATTGACTAACCTGCCAAGCCATCAGTTCAGATAAGCAAGGATTTTCTCATGCACTGAATTGATCCAATGCTAATCAAGCTATCGATATATAAAATATCAAGTATTCTCTAAAGGAAAATGCAAAAAATGCATTTAGCACATTATATTCATTTTCTAAAAATATATGTATAAGCAATCTGTCTGAGCTAATCTGACATATTGCTAAGTGAAATTGCAGCCTAACTTGGAAGATCTACCATCATAATTTAATATCATAAGTTTTAAACTAAAAACCTAACTTAATTATGAAGTCAAAGATTTAACATAGAATCGAAAGTCAAAACACCCTAATCCTTCAGCAATACTCATTTCCTAATCTAGATGATAAGGGCAGAATTGAAAATGTCTTGGTCAATATTTTGGCCATTTAGTTCACATGGCATGGTTGAAAGCAATATGATAATGTCAGAATTTGGTTGAGTTAACAAGGGATCTGTATATATTTATTCATTCTTTACAATATCTTCAGTTCAAGTCCCAAAGGCATTCAATTGCAATGCCTCTCACAACTTCAACAAATTTATTTTCCTTTTTGTTTGCTAGTTATATGTGTTGTCATACACTGGTTAATTTTGTGATCACCTTATCTAAAACATATATGAAAAGGAACGGAAAACTAACTATACTTTTGATTATTGATTAGGATTATAGGCAACATCTTTGGTTTCATGCACATTAAAAATTCCTTGAAATGATCTTTTTTTCCCGGCCTAGTTTGAAAACTGCAGGCATCAGGAATGCTTATTCTGTACAAGGTGCATACGCTTAGATGGTCAAATCAGCCAGCTAGAAGTTTTGTTACTGACCACAAAGGGCATAATGAATAATAAGACTTGGTTAGGTATGCAATAACTCAAAGGAGTTAAAGCCAGAGGAACACACTACAAGATGTGCATTGTAGTAGCTGGAGTTAGGGTCGTGCCAGAAGTTAATATAGCTTATCAGATCATGTGCAACCATTACAACCATCAAATAATAAAACAAAAAGATATGTATACCTGCTCGTGTTATAAGTCCTAATAACAAGCTTGCCATATGCTTCAAACCTGGTAACTCTATGCCGTGTTTCTGCATGAAGAATTAAATATCAGAGTTAAAGCATTTCCAAATTGGCTGCTTTTTATTCACTAAATTAAATGCAAAGGAATGGTATTAATACAGTTGTCAATCAAACAATCAGAGCCATACTATTCAGCTACCATTACCCCATAATGAGCACATTCTGTATCATAGTTCATAATTTTGAGTTGATTACATAGTTTTAGATTGATCTCAATAAACAGAAGTACAGAATACCAAAAATAAAAACACAGTTTTTAGAAACCAACTACCCTTACATATAAACACAATCACTTAAATATATGGCAAACATAATGCTGTATAAAATGAGAAAAAGTATAAAAAATTCACCTAACACGTGCACATGTAGGAGCTTTTTGGCGCCAATAACTGACTGAACCCTGAAGTGCTAATTTGAATAATATAAAAGGAATGACAAGAATAAACTGTTTGGTGTGTTTATTATCACAATAAGAAAGATTGTAATAAAGGAAGTGTAACACTTCCTCATTTTGAAACAGAAATTGGAAAAACAAAAAAACCAGAGATGAATGAATTATTTCCTACCTTAGGTTCTCGATGGCCATAATGTCTTCCAAAAATGATTCACCCTCAACATAATTGTCCACTTTCATTCCAAAACGAAAAATTGGCCATCCAACTTTGTTTGCTCATTGATCCCTTCTAGAACCAAGAAAATTTCTGTTCCGGCGTGGTGCATCACATAGTCAGCCTTGAATTCGTGAGTAACACCATTCACCTCAACCCAACTACACCCAGATTTTTTCTTTACTTTTTGATTTTGCATAAACGTCCTCATCTTTAATGCATCTTCCTGCCTATTTGCAGCAAAATAAATATTCCATAATAGTATATAAACCCCATCATCATCTGGTTCTAATTCAATTAACATTTTTGCAGCCATTTCAGCTAAATTCAAGTTCCCATGGACCAAACAAGCCCTAAGTAATGATCTCCAAATAACAGCATCCGGGTTGATTGGCATCTGTTCAATAAAATCTTTAGCTTCTTCTAAAAGCCCAGCTCGGCCAAGAAGATCCACCATGCAACCATAATGCTCAATCTTGGGTTGCAAACCATAGAATTTGTTCATCCTATTGAACAATCTCTGACCCTCAACAAGTAACCCTGCATGACTACAAGCTGATAGAACTGATAAGAATGTAACCTCATGCGGTTTCATCTTCAATTCTATCATGTCACCAAAAACCTCTAGAGCATTCTTTCCTTTACCATGAAATGCATATCCTGATATCAAAGTAGTCCATGAAAACACATCCTTCTCCCGTATCTCACTAATAACCTTCAATGCCATATCAAGACATCCACTCTTTGCATACATATCCATCAAAGCATTATTCACAGTAACACCAAAACCAAGATTACTTTTACTAACATAACCATGAATGCATTTACCAAGATCAAGAGCTCCAATGTCAGCACAACCCGACAATACAGCCACAATAGTAATCACCGTACAACACTCTCCTCCTGCTTTCATTTCCCTAAAAAGTTCCAATGCCTCAACTATTTCCCTCCCTCGAACATAAGCCGTTATCATTGCATTCCAAGAAACCGAATTTCTCTGAGGCATTTCATCGAACACCAGGCGAGAAGATTCCAAATCATTGACCATTGCAAACCCATTAAGCAAACTATTCCATGAAGCAATATCTTTACATTCCATACATTTAAAAACTTTCTCAGTCGATTCAATATCTTTATTCTTGCTATACATATCAATCAACGCATTACCCACAATTGGGTCAAACCCTAATGAAAACTGGACAATTATCCCATGAACTATCCTACCACAAGCCAAATCTTTTATACATTTACAAGCTGATAAAGCAGCAACAACAGAGTAGCTATCAGGTTCTATATTTCTACAAATTAAACGAGAAAATACCCACAAAGCTTTTCTGGGTTCTCGAACTTGCACGTGAAGATTAATGAGACATGTCCATGAAACTATATCTGGGTTTTGAATTTGACTGAAGAGTGCGTTGGGTTCCTGTGAGGTTCCCAATTTGGCGTAAGAGTTAAGTAATTTGCACGCAAAAGGTTGGTGATGGTGGAGAATTCCAAGTGTTACTGCTTGAGCGTGGATTTGTTTCAGGAATTCAAGAGTATTACATTGGCGTAATAGAATTTGTAAGTGTTTGTAGTTCATAACTTGGGCTAATAGAATTTGTTTGAAACATTCATAGAGAATTTGGATGACGATACCTCATTGTTTAAGCAATGTCTAGTAATTAAACTCTATTACAGAATCCAACTCAACACCCTTCGAGATTTTGACAAGAGTTGCTTGATGGAGAACATGATGCGATAAAAGTCGAAACCTGAGTTCGATTTGGAGAAGAGTTGCTTTTCAATAAACACTATGTATGAGAATACTGAGGGTAGACATACATGGCAATCCAACATGTGACAAACGAGGCAAACGCAACTGCTCAATGTTATTTCAAGCTTGAATAATCCTTGAATTTATTGCTTGAAGATGTTGAGATTCCTCCATCGTCTTCCAAAGTCAGCTTTCCTTCTCTAAATTCAACTGCTGGGCGTTGCCTCGTTGGGCTTTACTTGAGTGAGTTCATCCTTTTTATAAGTTCGCCCATATTATTTCCTAATTGGGCTAGGCTAAAACTTATATTTCAAATCCAATTTCCGGCAAAATTCAAGGTCCAAGTGATAGCTTAAAGAAAAAGAGTTTATTGAAGACGAGCTTATTAGAGTAGTTTGTTTGGCTAATAAAAAGTAAAAGAGCTTTCTGATATTAATTTACGAAAAGGGATTTTAATATACATGGATCAAGAGAAATTTAAAAGATTCAGCAGGGTTATTTTTGAAATTTCAATATTTTTGATAAGCTCAAAAGGAGTTTATATTTGAGCTTCTCCCATAAGCTGTAAACTAGCTTTTTTATAACAGTATAAGCACTTTTGAAAGGCAACCATACAACCTAAAGAAAATTTGAAAGTGCTTAAAGAATAAAAATAAATAAATAAAGTTATTTTGTCTAGTAAAGAAGCCCAACCAAACAGGCTCTCAGCATAGGTGAAACAAACAAATTTTTATTGGTCAAATTTTTTTCTCTATATTTCCTTTTTGGCATGTGTAGAGAGTCAGGTTTAATAGAAAATTAGGTGGATTTTAGATAACTGTATGAACTCTTAACAAATTTCTGGTCAGCGGACAGTGAATATATCTTATTATTTAAGGTAATCCTCACTATATCAGAGGAAATTTAACTCCCAGGCCATCTCAAGTTTCCATTTAACAAAATGGCCATCAAAATCTTTTTGATTTTTTTTGGGTTAAAAAATATGATGTGGCACACTTAAATGTAATTAAAGCAGCAAAAGGGATTATGGTGAAAAGATTTAAACATTTGTGGGTTAAAGTATAATAAAGAGAAGTTGATTTAAAATTTGAAAGGCAAAACACATTTCTCTCAGTTTCTCTTTCTCACAACAGGATTCAAACACCTTTCTTTCTCTCGTTTTTTCTTCCAATTTTCTGCAATTTCTTAATTTCTTTGCTCTTTGCATTTTTGTCATTCCTTGCCATTCCCGATTAAGTTATAATGGCTGAGATCCTTAAAGAAACAGAAAAAAACTCATCTACTCCCCAAATTGTAGGCACCACTGGGTCTACCAAAAATGGAGAAGAAGAAGTTGTGGTGGAGTAACTTCCAATGACTGAAGTTGCTCCACCACGAGAGGAGACGACGTCGACGAAAGACATTCTATTGGCAG